GAACTCCCAATAAGTGTTTGATGAAGTTTCTGTCCTGGAACAGCTGGTTCTTCATGATTTGAAAAGCAAGGGGCGAGGGGATACCTTTGACGAGAAGTGAGGATTATCTATTCAAGGCTGGAGATTTTTGTTGTTAGGGTTGCTTTACTTTTTGTTTCATTTTATTTCCTAGAATGAGTTAGAAGTTCTAGAGAACCAGTGCCAGGTTTTTTGGAGTAGTGGAAATTGAGGGATTTGTTTTAATGAACAGTTGGATGCTCCTGATCGACGGCAATTTTGGCCTGGGAGCGACCAGTGGCCAAAGTGCCAAAGGGCATCTTCCTGGTTGAAGAATTAAATAGCTGAATAAATGGAGAAATAATTAAGAGCTTTCGATTTTAGTAAGAGTCAAGAAATTTTTAATTTGCTACACTTTACGTTCTGCTACGGGACACGTAACAGCTGCTTCACTGCAGTTGTTAGTGCGGTCTAGACTCAGCCGCTTTTCAACAACCAAGAAATCTTGTCAAGTGCAGATCATCCACAGAAACGATTGCCAATCCGAGTGGTATATAAAATATCATTGAACAGCTGGTTCTTTTGGGTCGTGGGAAGTTCCTACGCTTTTGTAGGCTATATATTGAAAACTTCATAATTGTTCATGTAGATCATACTTTCTAACTTCCCATGCAGCAGGCGAAGTCGAGATTAGAGCAAAAAAAGCCTCTTTTTCAAAGAGGAATTTCAAGCAGTAAATGCAACTGACCTGCAATGAAGAAGAAATTTTCGAAATATATAATATTACAAGTGGTTTTCAGTACTGTTACGGTAGTCTCAATACTTGTTATTTTCTCCGGCAGTAATATGCTCAACCTACAGTTACACGGAAGTTGATATGGTGCATATTCGCTGCAGAAAAGCTACACTTTAAAAATGAGAAAATTTGAGGCAGAATTTGATAGAGCTAGTTATCTTGCTTAATCATAGACAATAGCCAATAACAGATTTTCGCTCCTGAGATAGTTGTAAAACCAACTGTTGTTATGCGTATCTACGTCGGTGCTAATGCTGCCCGGTCTGCCCAACACACAGTTAAGCAGTTCAATTTTGCTCCGCTCTTTAACACCAAGATACCAGCAGCAAAAAACACCCACAAAACAGAAACTGCAATTTGGGCCTTTCTAAAGCAAAACTGCGTTTCAACTAAATTACGTCTCTCTTCAAACATGGTTTCAAACTTTTTCTATTTCGTTCTTTGCTTCATCAAGCAGCGGACTAGTATTTCTATGTTACAGGAATTAGTCTG